GTTGCCTTTGAGACCCTATGGTAGCCCAAGAATGAAAATTACCCCTATGATGGCATACCATTTGCAATAGTAGACAACCCAAGGTATTGCAAACAGGGTATGTCCAGTCTTTTTTAGTAGCCACTTAGTCACAAACACTGGCCAAAATTGGCGTTTTTTTGCATTTTTCACACAAACAGATACTAACGCTAACTTTGGCCAGTGTTTGTGACCAAATGGCTACTAAAAAAGACTGGACATACCCCATTTGCAATACCTTGGGTTGTCTACTATTGCAAATGGTATGCCATTATGGGTGTAAATTTCATTCCTGGGCTACTATACAGTCTCAAAGGCAACGTAACCAATCTGGCGAATTTCAATTTCAAATGTAACGTGCTATATTTGACCCTGTAACTTCCCAAAACGCCATAAAACCTGTACATAGGGGGTACTGTTTTACACGTGAGACTTTGCTGAATACAAATATGTGTATTTTATTGCAGTAAAAGCAAACAGTATTATGACACTGACCGTTAAAATGTCATGTAGAACTAAAAAAATCAAAAAAAATCTTATTTTCTCCCATTTTTTTCATATTAAATTATGTTTCATAGCTAATTATTTGATATTAAATGAAAGCCCTGTTTCCCCTGAATAAAATGATATATAATAAGGGTGGGTGCATTTACTATGAAAGAGGTGTATTACGGTTGGACAGACATGTAGCGCAAATGCCAGGTTTTGTTTACATTTTGTTTCGTTCACAACGTGTACATTTGGCTCCGTCCTTAAGGGGTTAATAAAGACTACTCAGTTGTTTTGATTATATCTTAGGTGTATCCTTGCTCACCAAAAATAAAGAAGTACAACAACAACAAAAAATAAATAAATAAAAAAGCAAGATATTGCATACTGTTTAATGTCAATTAATAGTTCATTTAAAATATGAAAAACTCCTTGGCGGACGGATTACTACTTATGTTGAGCTCGCAGTGTCAGTGGTAGCCCTTTATGTTGCATTGTTCATATGTATGACTTGTTATTTGGCTTTTGCACAAGCCACTATGATGATGTTTTATCACTGTGTCTGCCAAGATGGAAAAATAAATAATATCTAAAAAAAAAAAATTAAGTTTTTAAAGAACAAATGTGCAGGTATCAAATGCACATTTCGCAGCAATTTCTAAACTAACTCCAGCAAAAAGAATTTAACTGGACATTTGGGGGAAGGAAACTAACTAAAATTTGCCGCTTTCAAAAGACACAAAGTAAAAAAATGAGGAATAAGTGTTGTAAAAAAGTATATTCTGTTTGGTAGAGCTTAAAACAAGGTCCAATACACAGTCCAGGTTTTGAAGGGCAATCGGGACAGTCTGTCCTTTTCCCTTTTTTGTAACAGACTCAGAGTTTCTGGGGATTGGCCTTTTTTCTCAGTTGGGGGTATTTTGAAATGTGTAGCCCCAATTCTGGACTTCTCTAGCACTGTTGTTGGAACTTGACCATCTTCATAAATTATAGTTGAAATCAGCTTGAGCTGAAAGTGGAGAAAGGTGGTTCTTCCTGGATTCATTTAAGAAAAAAAAAGTCAAAATGAATTGTGCGTTGCTACTTGCATAAGATAGATAGCCACCTTTTTATACCTGGCTTTCGTCTTTTTTTATTTAAAATCAGATATGGCTGCATCAGCCGATAAGCCAAATCAACACCCCCTATGGGCCTGTTATAAACCCTGATGCAAACAGGTTTGGTCTGTACTCTGCCTTGGATAATGACGCCTGACATTGTTTCGTCATGGATGGTGGTTATCATGATAACATCCTTCCTGTCCTTAAATTTTATTGCTAACACTTCAGCTTTGCACAGAGCTTTGCATTCTCCTTTTTTTAATTTGGCCTGTATGAGAGGTCTAGCGAAATCTTTTGCATTTTTTCTCACAGTGACACAGGCCAGTGTCTGCAAACCATAAAGTGTTTGAAACAAACAGACACTGCTATAGAAATTGTCCACATATTGTCCATATAAATTGAGCAAGGGTATTAGTAGGTCCAAAAATGTTTTCCCACTTGTCCCCAGACAGTCAGGACAGCCAGGATGGTCCAGTTGACAATCTTTCCCCTCATTTACGCGAAAGGCAGATGTATAGCCACTGTCACTCTCGCAGAGTTTATAGAATTTTACGCCATATCTAAAGCGCTTTGAGGGGATGTATTGTTTGAATCCTAATCTCTCTTTATATTTCAATGAGGATTCATCAATTGATACATTTTGGTGGGGGTATAAACTTCAGAATTTTTTTTGAAGATGGTCTACCAGTGGGCGTATTTTATAAAGCCTATCATATTGGGGGTGACGCAGCCGGTTCTCCAGTCCCGAAGTCCTGCAGACGCAGAACCTCTCCCCCCCCTGGACCATTGGGGGTCATCACAATCCACTTTGGCACCCCCACAAGCCCGAAAACCTGCATGAGAGCCATTGCCGGGCGGGCGCGGGCAGGAGGAAGAAGCAGTATTCCGCTCACCTAAGATGGCAGCAGGCAGCACCGGAAATACCCCTGTAGGCAATGCAGCCTCAAACTCAGCAGCTAGGGGACTGAGACAGACACTGCACAACTGCGGTACCTGGAAAAGGTCAGTGACAACACCCCACAGACACAACCCTGAGGGAGACAATGAAGGGGAAAAAGCACCAAGAGAGACCCTACTCAAGCACCAACCGCCGACGCACAGAACCTTAAGGCTGCCAAGGGACCTGGCGACGCCCTGTTATGACCCCATCCCAGCCTCCACCCAGGACTAATAAATAAATAAATAAATAAATAAAGGGACCCAACCTCAAGCACCGTCGAGGACCTACCTGGCATGAACGGAACCTGGGACTAAACGTGACCCACCACCCCTCACCCAGCCACACCCACATGCCATATAGCACCGCAACTCCCATGCCACATACCGCCTCTATCCGCGCTGGCAGGAGACACCTGGCGTGTAGCTGACTCCAAATGACAGTGCTGTGGCTGCCACACTTATCCGGGACTCTAACCCTCCACAGCTGTTAGAGGGCTGTTAGAGAGCCAGCACCGCTACAGTTGTTACAAATCATCTTCCCGTATATGTATGTAATTGTTTTTCTCCTTTTTGTGTACATATTAAAAGTTGAGTTTTAATTATTCATTCTCCATACCCTTGGGCTAAGAGCTAGTTCTTCTTGTCTCTTATAACTTGTATGTAATTTGTTTTATTTTTATCTTGAAAGGATAAATGATTAGCATAATACAAGGATAAGGCATTTTGCACCAACGGTTAGAAATTATGAGCCCCCCTTCTTCACCCCAAAGTCAGTCATATATATATCTATATATAACCAATAACACCACAGCTAATGTCTGATAGTAAGCCAAAAATGGAAACATCCAGGGTTATTCTCTTGTCTAAAGGAGAATTTATTGCACCATGGAAGTTAAAATGCTAAGCCATATTAGCCAGGGTGAAAACATGAATTTGAATTTAAAAAAAACCTCTCTAACAGAAAAAAGGCAGTTGGCCAATATTATAAGATTATGATTCCTTATTTCCATTTTCAAGAGCTGCCTGCCATATTCAGACACAATGTAACAGCCTGACTTATCTCACTGTGATGTCAGACAGTGACATCATCATTGTTACCTATACAAACTCCATGCATGTTACCATCTGCACAGAGCTCAGATAGGCTTGTAATAGTGACCTGTGCTTGTCACTGTACCTAACTGAAGTGAACATTTATTGATTTATTGACTGATTATGGACGGTGGGCAAAGGAGGAGAAGCCAAAGAGTCCGTAATAGACAGGAAGAAGCAGCTCCCCGATCAAGTAAGTGATAGCTACACATTTGCACTGCATACTGCATACTATTCTTACACATACACCAAATACACAACAAAGTATACTATTCTTATACAGACACCAAATACACTACAAACAAAGTATACTATTCTTACACAGACACCAAATACACTACAAACAAAGTATACTATTCTTACACAGACACCAAATACACTACAAACAAAGTATACTATTCTTACACAGACACCAAATACACTACACACAAAGTATACTATTCTTACACAGACACCAAATACACTATAGGCGAAGTATGCTAGCCTTACATCGGCTCCCTTAAATAAACTATACATGGTCATAATCACCAGACACATTTCATGTAAAAGGGACAAGTGTTCAATGCTATAACTCTCACCCATAGAGAACATTCATAAGAGCACTATTGTCTCATGCATGCAAAGCCGCTTAACCATGTTTCGGGGGAATGTGCTTCAGTCTGGTATTAAACTCTGTTAAAGTACATCCACACTTCCTTTCTCTCTTCAGAAAACATTATGAAAATACCAGTAAATAGCATATTCTCTAGAATGTTAAGAAAAAAAACAAAAGTTAAATAATTCCTAAACAATCTTGTCATCTTTTAGCCACAACACAATCTTAAAGCAACACTATAGTATCAGGAATACAAAACTGTGTTCCTGACACTATAGGTCTAAATAATATATGTTGCCAATATCACAGTAAATGTCAGATAGTAAGCATAAAAATTGAAACATCCAGCGTTATTTTCTAATCTAAAGGAGCATGTAATGCACCAAGAAATTGGAATGCTAAGCCAACGAAACTGAGACAAAACCATGAATTAGAGAATTTTTCCAATTTGGCTATTCTGATATGAAGTCTGGATGCCATATTCCACAGTTTTGTGTAAAAACCACTCTAATGGAAATAGGACAGTTGGCCAATATTATAGAATTATGACTTCTTTTCATTTTCAAGAGCTGTCTGCCATATTCAGACACACTGTGTAATAGCCTGACTTATCTCACTGTGATGTCAGGCAGTGACATCATCATTGTTACCTCTACAAACCCCATGCATGTTACCATCTGCACAGAGCTCAGATAGGCTTGTAATAGTGACCTGTGCTTGTCACTGCATCTAATTGAAGTTAACATTTATTGATTTATTGACTGATTATGGACGGTGGGCAAAGAAGGAGAAGCCAAAGAGTCCGTAATAGACAGGAAGAAGCAGCTTCACGATCAAGTAAGTGAAAGCTACACATTTGCACTATTCTTACACAAACCGTGTATCTTTTGTACATCCTTCTCCAGCATGCTGACAACAAACATTATTTATGCACAGTTTTAATATTAGCAACCACTTGCTAATGTTGCTGGAGCAGGTGGACTTATACCTCTAGAAATGTTATCAGGTATTTCAATATGAGCAGCATTTCACACTGCACATAACTTCAAAACACTTAGGGGGTCTTGGTTTGGCAGTAACTCATTAACTATACTTTTTTGATTAGGATCTCGGGGAAGGCATGCTAATCCCAGAACAAACCGATCAAGAACGCCATCTGGAAGACAATCAACAAGGAGGGGTGAGAGAAGCCGGAGTCCTCGTGTCCCTGAAAGACGTCCCACCAGAAATGATGGACAAATCCAGGGAATGCGAAGGGAACGCAGAGGAAGGCAAGATAATTCCCCAAGACGGGGAACAGACAGAGCAAGAAGATGGAATTTAAGGACTCGCAGGCGCAGAGACAGATCTGAAAGTGAAGGAGAAGATAGGCAAAGACCAGGGAGAAGCAGATCTCCCTTAAATCGTAATGATGTGCCACCTCCTCCTAACGTATATAATGCTGGGGAACTGGAAATTGTAGGAAACCAGCCGGCTGAGAACAATGAAGGAAATCGCCAGCCAGGGCCTGCTCAAGAGCCTTCACAACCTGTTAATGCCCAAGATGTGGATAACAATGAGCCTCCCCTTGCACAAAATGAGGACCCTCCCCAACCTATTCCACAGGGAGCTCAGGGAGATGATGAGCAGGATGAATGCAGCATTTGCTTGAGTGCATTTGATCCTGCTGAGGAAATCATGCTGCTGCACTGTGGTCACAGATTCCATATTGAGTGCATACAGATGTGGCTGCAGGAACATTGCACCTGTCCCATGTGCAGGGCAGTTGTTATAATCTAAAGAACAAAGTCTAGCAAAATGGCTGCTTGTTCTGACTTCAACCTGCAAAAAAGGTATGGACCTTTTAGAATTATACCTATGCACTATTTACCCTAGAGAAAAAATATAGAGAGAGATTTAGTGATAGAAAGATGTCATGATATTATATAGGTTACTATAAAGTAGGTTTAAACTAAAGGTATAATGTCTGTCCACTAAGTTTGGTTTATTCAAATAATCCTTCCAATTAAATATCAGATTCTGTTCCATTTTCAGTTTATACCGATATGGCTGGAGAAGATTTTCACCTATCCCAACTGCAGAGTGGAAATAAGTATGGATTTCAAGCTGCAATAAAGGTATGTACCTCTAAAATTATACTATATCCTAAAGCAGAGAAAGGGGTGTGGGTGGGAGAGAGATATCATTTCATAATTAATAACTAGAGTCTCGGACTAGGACGCGTTATTCTCAAAACTGATAAGCGCATAAATCCCCCCATACACAAAGCAATCATAAAATCTTACTTGTGTATAATAATATTATTCAGGTTAAATTAGAAAGCTATAATGTCTGTCAGGTCAGTTTGGTTTATTCAAATAATCCTTCTAATTAAATATCAGATTATGTTTCATTCTCAGTTCCTACCGATATTGCTGCAGGAGATTTTCACCTATTTCAACTGAAGAGCTGAAATAATTCTGGAATTTAAGCTGCAATAAAGGTATGTACCTCTAGAATTAGACTATACCCGAAATGAGAATCGGGGGCATGGGTGGGAGAGAGATATTATTTTATAACTGGTAACTAGAGTCTCCGACTTGGATGAGTTATTCCCACAACCGATAAGCACATAAATTCCCCCATACACAAAGCAATCAGAAAATATAACTTTTATATAATTATAGGATTCAGATTAAATTAGAAAGCTATAATGTCTGTCCCCTCAGTTTAGTTTATTCAAATAATAATTTAATTAAATATTTCATTCCATTTCATTCTCATGGCTGCAGGAGAGTTCCATCTATCCCAACCACAGAGCTGAGATAATTCTGGATTTCAAGCTGCAATAAAGGTATGTACCTCTAGAATTAGCCTATACCCTAAAGGAGAGACGGGGGGTGGGAGAGATATAATTTCATAATTAATAACTAAAGTCTCTGAGAAAAAATATGAATTTTATTCCCTGTTTATTCCCTAAACAGATAAGCGCATAAATCCCCCCATACACAAAGCAATCATAAAATCTTACTTGTGTATAATAATATTATAACTGTCAGGTCAGTTTGGTTTATTCAAATAATCCTTCTAATTAAACATTAAATTCTGTTCCATTCTCAGTTCATACCGATATGGCTGGAGGAGATTTTCACCTATCCCAACTGCAGAGCTGAAATAATTCTGGATTTCAAGCTGCAATAAAGGTATGTAGCGCTAGAATTATACTGTACCCTAAAGGAGAGACATGGGCGTGGGTGGGAGAGAGATATAATTTCATAATTAATAACTAGAGTCTCGGACTAGGACATGTTATTCCCTAAACAGATAAGCGCATAAATCCCCCCATACACAAAGCAATCATAAAACCTTATTTGTGTATAATAATATTATTCAGGTTAAATTAGAAAGCTATAATGTCTGTCCGCTCAGTTTGGTTTATTCAAATAATCCTTCCAATTAAATATCAGATTGTGTTCCATTCTCAGTTCCTACCGATATGGCTGCAGGAGAGTTCCATCTATCCCAACTACAGAGCTGAAATAATTCTGGATTTCAAGCTGCAATAAAGGTATGTACCTCTAGAATTATACTATAGCCTAAAGGAGAGACGGGGTGGTGGTGTGGGTAGGGAGAGAGATATTATTTTATAACTGGTAACTAGAGTCTCAGACTTGGACGAGTTATTCCCACAACCGATAAACACATAAATTCCCCCATACACAAAGCAATCAGAAAATGTCACTTGGATATAATAATTCAGGTTGAATTAGAAAGCTATAATGTCTGTCCCCTCAGTTTAGTTTATTCAAATAATCATTTAATTAAATACTCCATTACATTTCATTCTCGTGGCTGCAGGAGAGTTCCATCTATCCCATCCGCAGAGCTGAAATAATTATGGATCTCAAGCTGCAATAAAGGTATGTACCTCTAGAATTCGACTATACCCTAAAGGATAGACGGGGCGTGGGTGGGAGAGAGATATAATTTCATAATTAATAACTAGAGTCTCGGACTAGGACACGTTATTCCCTAAACAGATAAGCGCATAAATCCCCCCATACACAAAACAATCATAAAACCTTATTTGTTTATAATAATATTATTTAGGTTAAATTAGAAAGCTATAATGTCTGTCTGCTCAGTTTGGTTTATTCAAATAATCCTTCCAATTAAATATCAGATTGTGTTCCATTCTCAGTTCCTACCGATATGGCTGCAGGAGAGTTCCATCTATCCCAACTACAGAGCTGAAATAATTCTGGATTTCAAGCTGCAATAAAGGTATGTACCTCTAGAATTAGCCTATACCCTAAAGGAGAGACGGGGGGTGGGAGAGATATAATTTCATAATTAATAACTAGAGTCTCTGAGAAAAAATATGAATTTTATTCCCTGTTTATTACTTAAACAGATAAGCGCATAAATCCCCCCATACACAAAGCAATCATAAAATCTTACTTGTGTATAATAATATTATAACTGTCAGGTCAGTTTGGTTTATTCAAATAATCCTTCTAATTAAACATTAAATTCTGTTCCATTCTCAGTTCATACCAATATGGCTGGAGGAGATTTTCACCTATCCCAACTGCAGAGCTGAAATAATTCTGGATTTCAAGCTGCAATAAAGGTATGTAGCTCTAGAATTATACTGTACCCTAAAGGAGAGACATGGGCGTGGGTGGGAGAGAGATATAATTTCATAATTAATAACTAGAGTCTCGGACTAGGACATGTTATTCCCTAAACAGATAAGCGCATAAATCCCCCCATACACAAAGCAATCATAAAACCTTATTTGTGTATAATAATATTATTCAGGTTAAATTAGAAAGCTATAATGTCTGTCCGCTCAGTTTGGTTTATTCAAATAATCCTTCCAATTAAATATCAGATTGTGTTCCATTCTCAGTTCCTACCGATATGGCTGCAGGAGAGTTCCATCTATCCCAACTACAGAGCTGAAATAATTCTGGATTTCAAGCTGCAATAAAGGTATGTACCTCTAGAATTATACTATAGCCTAAAGGAGAGACGGGGTGGTGGTGTGGGTAGGGAGAGAGATATTATTTTATAACTGGTAACTAGAGTCTCAGACTTGGACGAGTTATTCCCACAACCGATAAACACATAAATTCCCCCATACACAAAGCAATCAGAAAATGTCACTTGGATATAATAATTCAGGTTGAATTAGAAAGCTATAATGTCTGTCCCCTCAGTTTAGTTTATTCAAATAATCATTTAATTAAATACTCCATTACATTTCATTCTCGTGGCTGCAGGAGAGTTCCATCTATCCCATCCGCAGAGCTGAAATAATTATGGATCTCAAGCTGCAATAAAGGTATGTACCTCTAGAATTCGACTATACCCTAAAGGATAGACGGGGCGTGGGTGGGAGAGAGATATAATTTCATAATTAATAACTAGAGTCTCGGACTAGGACACGTTATTCCCTAAACAGATAAGCGCATAAATCCCCCCATACACAAAACAATCATAAAACCTTATTTGTTTATAATAATATTATTTAGGTTAAATTAGAAAGCTATAATGTCTGTCTGCTCAGTTTGGTTTATTCAAATAATCCTTCCAATTAAATATCAGATTGTGTTCCATTCTCAGTTCCTACCGATATGGCTGCAGGAGAGTTCCATCTATCCCAACTACAGAGCTGAAATAATTCTGGATTTCAAGCTGCAATAAAGGTATGTACCTCTAGAATTATACTATAGCCTAAAGGAGAGACGGGGTGGTGGTGTGGGTAGGGAGAGAGATATTATTTTATAACTGGTAACTAGAGTCTCAGACTTGGATGAGTTATTCCCACAACCGATAAGCACATAAATTCCCCCATACACAAAGCAATCAGAAAATGTCACTTGTATATAATAATTCAGGTTGAATTAGAAAGCTATAATGTCTGTCCCCTCAGTTTAGTTTATTCAAATAAACATTTAATTAAATATTTCATTCCATTTCATTCTCATGGCTGCAGGAGAGTTCCATCTATCCCAACCTCAGAGCTGAGATAATTATGGATTTCAAGCTGCAATAAAGGTATGTACCTCTAGAATTCAACTATACCCTAAAGGATAGACGGGGGCGTGGGTGGGAGAGAGATATAATTTCATAATTAATAACTAGAGTCTCAGTCTAGGATGCGTTATTCCCACAACCGATAAGCACATAAATTCCCCCATACACAAATCAATCATAAAATTTCAAGTTTAGCCTTTATTTCTTAAACACTGTTTTTTGGTTGCAGTACCCTGTTAACATCTTGTGTATTTTATTCTTATTTCATTTATTGATTTGTTGTTTCTTTTAGAATCTATCCTATGAGCGCAACAACATCACGCGACAAAACAAGATATGTTACAAGAGAAAATAAAAGATTAACGTTACTGATCTATTAATTGTAAAAATGACATGTATTTTATCGAAGTGAGGATTTGTATTAAAATAAAATTTAAAAAACTAACATATAACTGATGTTTTACTATGTGTTATTAGTTAACATTACATTAAAGGCCACTCCATGCTACAATTTATTACAATTTACTGAAGTGTTGATGGTGCACTCTAAGAGCAGTCCCCCTGTTATTTCTCAGGGAATTAGAGTAATTTGACCAAATAAAGAGCACTCATTGTGCTATAAGGCTCAGCCTCTCTGCAGCTCGCAACAGAATGCAGAACTTTCACTTTATCCGTGGAAATCTATCCTGGTTTAGACAGCAATGACAAGCTGCATGAGCTTTGCGATCGATTTTGTTTCTAACATTCATTAATGT